ATCTTTCGGTTCATGCTAAGAACTTTACCCCAATCCACTAGAGAGAAAGAAATCTTTCATATAGGTATCACGTTTATCAGGACCAACACTCTTATCCGCCATGAACACAGGCAAAGACAGATCGGATTAAGCGTCCCATTTTGTGAACGCTGTCAGTTTGACTTTTCCTTAGGAAGTGATAAAACTACACTTACAAATAGGAACAGACATGCCACTAACTGCAGTACGGCCATCAAGTAACAAAGGTGAACCATTTGGAAGAGTGTGCACAACCTCTCCTTCTATCATTCTCTTGAATGAGCTCTCTCATGTTGCTTATTTGTGACGGTGGGCAGAAGAGTAAAGGGATTTATTCAGCCAAAGTTATATACTGATTTCAGTGGAAGAGAGACATGGCTTAGTGGTAGAACATCTGCTCTACATGCAGAAGGTCCCAGGTTCAATTCCTCTACTGATTTCAGTGGAAGAGAGCCATGGCTTAGTGGAATTCCTGGCATCTCCAGTTAAAAAGGTGATGTAAAAGACCTTCTGTACCCTGAGACCCTGGAGAGCCACTACGCTTGATAGACCAATGGTCTGACTCAGGCAGTTTCTTGTAGGAATACCATTCTCCTGGTGGGACCTGGGGACCCCCCAGAATTACAGCTCATTTCCAGACTACAGAGATCAGTTCCCCTGGAGAAAATGGATGCTTTGGAGGGTTGACTCCATGGCACTGTACCCCACTGAGGTCCCCGTCCTCCCCAGGATCCATCCCCAAGTGTCCAGAAGTTTCCCAGCCTGGATCGGACAACCCTACCACCCCATCTCCCACCAGTGGTGGTGGTGGTGGTGGGGAGACACACCTGGCAACCCAAGTCTCATGGGAGTTCAGCATGTACTATATTTTCCCATTGAAATCAAAGGGCCTCGGAAGTTTCCATCATGCCACACTCAACTCAGACAAGGGTGTGCAAGAGAGATGAAAGCCGTACGAGAAAGAGCCCTCTCTGTGATCCCAAGATTTTTGGTACATAACACAACAGTTCAAGAGGTCATTTGGAATTAAAAAAAGAACATGGGCACAAAAGAGTTTGTCTGACCTATTGCCTTAAGGGGAAGAAATATGCTGTACTGACATTTTTAAGTCAGTAGCTGAATATGAAATAAGCCTGAATACTTTCTTTTTTTTAAAAAAACAACAACGTGTTCTATATCTTGGTATTATAAGCAGAATGGCTTGCAGAACATGTGCCTCTGGTGAAATTGCTCAGCAGAAACAGCAGACATTGGTGTTGTCAGCAAGGTATTTTCCAGAGAGTTATAGGTCTAATTTCCTTCACGCCAAGCTCAGTGGCCTAGTAAATATCCCATTGATTTTTAGCGGAATTAATGCAAATTACGCTAGTGCAAGCAAATATTTATGACAGCAAAATAAAATAACTTAACAGAAAGAGAAGTAAAGGAAGTACAAGACTGGCACGTAGTCATGCACTCTAAGCTAGTTGGCTCATCTCGTACCCGAAATCTACTGACTAGTTCTTGGGTCGCTGGTCTCAGGGGCAGCTAAGAAATCCAAACATCCCTAGAAAAAGGCCAACCTGAATGGCCCCAGTGATGTTATAGCACCAATAGTGGGCACTGGTTTAACTGTTGCCTCCTTTCGCAAACTGGCAGTGCTGCAGGAGGCACCTGGTGAGCTGATACAGATCATTGTTACTACTGAAAGCTTCAAGCCAAGTGGCCCCCGCATCACTGGCATTGTTGCCTGAAGCCTGGCTCTGCTTGCTCCTCACCATCACTGGACCTCTAGGGCAGCAGCCCACTGGGAAATTCCCCAGTGAAAGATCACATTAAACCAGCACACACCCCCTGCATGTGGCACCCTGGGCACCCCCCGGTACCGTTCCTGGGGTCCATCAAGTGTTTTTTTCTAGAAAATGGGTGAGGCCAGGTGGGGTTTACTTTTCTATATAATACTTTCCTTGTGCAAATAGCAGAATGATATTCTAAAAACTTAGTGGGACTGGCTTCTGACTAAGCATGATCGGGCTGCACAGCTTAAAATGTTTAATGAACCCAACTGGCGCATCTGTTGAAGTCGTCAGATTGTCCCACTTTTAATATCTTTTTATAATGCTGGTGGAATTTGATAATAACGTCACTACATCAACTTTTTTCACTTTTCAAAAACCACATGTGTTCCTATCAACACATGACCATAATTTCTCTCTTGTTGTATGTACATGCAAGGAAGTGTCACCAGCTTTTCAGCACCCGCTGTCATTGGCCCTTTCTGTGGTCTCCTTCTACCCCGGGTTCACTGCAGTTTCCTCCAATTCCTTCTGCATTCAAATTGAGTTCAATCTCCTTTTTATTCCAGGTTATTTCTTCCTTTTGCATTCACATCGAGTTCAATTTCCATTTTAACCCGTGCTATTTTTTCCTTCTGCATCGCTTTCCTCCCTTCAGTGGTCATCCTGGGTTCAGCCTGCTGTTGCTCTGGGATATTTGGATGCTCTTTTGCTGTGGCTTTTACCCTAATTCGCTTTCAACCCAGATCAGATTTCAGTCCCTTTAACTCGGGGTGATTCTGCATCTGGTTTATAATCCACTCTCTCTCTGCCGTGGAAGCAGTTCCATCTTGGCTTGGGATATATGATTGCATTCTGCATCTAATCCACAGCTGTTGTTTAAAAAAGATAAAACGAGACAACAAAAAGACAGAGGACTGCCACCTAGTGGATATCTAAGCAAATTCATGAGCGGTGAGAAAAAACAGAGGTGGGGTGAAGGAGGGAACATCAAAGGAATCCGCGTCAAGTAGTCTGCATATTGTTCACAGGGAATCGGTGGTGGAGAGAAGCAAATGGTCTGGTGCAAAACCACATCCAAATAACCCGGGGAGACGCCATGGTGAGTGCGGAGTCACCACTAGATGGCAGTAAAACGATGCAGAAGCTCAAAAGTGAACCGATGCACAAGGAGACTGGGAGCGGCATGCAACGCAGAGTGAAATATGTGTTCTAGGGTGCGTTTGGAGATACAATGGCAGGAAAGATGAGTGTAGAACCTCACTCAGTCTCTTTAGGCCCACCCATTTCCAGCCCCTTTCCTCCCTTTCCCGGAGGGTCTACAAGTGATGCCATCTGGAGCTGCCATTTGAGCGTGATGGCCATTGTTCCTCCCCTGTGAGCCCTTAACGCTGCTCTTATCTGCCTCCTTGGATGCTAAATGACCTTATTCATGCAATCAAAGACAGGGTGTTTTTTTTTTGTTAATCCAGGACCACTGTTGAGAACAAAGATGGGAGGAGGGAGAGCTGCTTTCAATTCTATTGTTCAGCTGTTTCTTTGGCACTACGTGCACTCTGAGGTGCTGAGAAGGCTGTTCGCATGTGTTACCTCTTTGCAATGCAGAATAAATAATCCGCTGCAGGCGAGGAAAAAGGGGAGGAGAACAGGAGGTGTGGAAATCAGCAGAAAACCCGAGATGAACTCAAGATGAACTTGAGTAAAATAGCTTCTGAATCAAACTCTGTGAAGATCAGGAATAAATTGTGCAGAAAGGGCCATTGTTACAAGTAATGGTGGCAAGTTTAAAATGGCTCAGGAGAAAAGGGCTCATGTAATGGGACAGGCAGGAGAAGATGCCTTTACCCCATTTTTCCTTTTGCATAAGTGCATTAAAGGTAAAGGTTCCCTTGCTCGAAAGCCAGTCGAATCCAACTCTAGGGTTGCGGTGCTCATCTTAGTTTCAAAGCCAAAGAGCCAGCACTTTCTGAAGACATTTCCGTGGTCATGTGGCCGGCATGACTAAACACGGAACACTGTTACCTTCCCACTGAAGTGGTACCTATTTATCTACATGCAATTTCTTGCTTTCAAACTGCTAGGTTGGCAGGAGCTGGGGCCAGAGACAGGAGCTCACTCTGTCATGCGGCACACTCGGGTCTTGAAATGCTGAACTACCGATCTTCCACAGCCTGCAGTTCAGCGTCTTAACCACTTGAGCCACCGTAGCTCCTATAAGTGTATTAGAAGCCTGTAATATAAAGTACACCAGTTTGGTGTAGTGTTTAAGTGTGTGGACTCTAATCTGGGAGAACCGGGTTTGATTCCACTCCTCCACTTGCACCTGGCTGGATGACCTTGGGCAAGCCGTAGTTCTGATAAGAGCTGTCCTTGAAAAAGAGCAGTTTCTGTCAAGAGCTCTCTCAGCCCCACCTACCTCACAGGGTGTCTGTTGTGGGGAGGGGAAGGGAAAGGAGTTTGTAAGCCGCTCTGAGACTCCAAGTGAAGGGCGGGGTATAAATCCAATCTCTTCTTCTTCTTCCACTGCGAGATGAGGGTTTCTTAGCCAGCTCAGTATGTACACTTATTTTGTGTGTAGGCAAGGAAATATTTTTAACAATGTCAACTTTAAAGGGTATCCCGTTAAACAAGAGCTTCTGCCTGAAATATTGGAGACCTACTAACAGAGTGATGTAGAATCTCCCTCCCTCCCTGACCTTTCAGTTGGCTCTGCCACTTGTGCCCATCATGCAGGGTTAACGTTCCAGAGGTGCCTTCAGGCTGAAAAGGGTTGGGGACCCCTGCGTTAGACTGACACCCACCCCTGTTTCTTCTTCCTAGACTCTTCAAACCTACCTTATCCGCAGCTGTGAGCCGCGTCCACGGTTTGTCTGCCCGTCTGTCGTAGTCCTGAGCATCTGCCACCTCCACGTAATCGCTGAAGCGGATGAGGATCTTCCTCTCTCGCAGCTCTTCTACCGTTGGCCTTTGACTCAGCTGTAGCAGCAAGGCAGAAAAGCGCACCAAAATGTCAAGCTTCCCAGAAGCTCTTTGCCAATTTCTCACATTGCGAAAAATGTTTTTTTTAAAAAAAGACATGCAACTTCATCTGCGAGTTACCCATTTTAACTCTGACCCCTTCAGTTATATGTACCAACTACTTTCGGAATCCGATAATTCCAGATGGCTATCTTACATCGAAGCCAAAATAAGTTCCCTGAATTTGTCCCTAGAATCCTTATATATGCTTTCTGAGTCTGAGGCCTTTTTTAAAATAAAATCTAGTTTATTGGGATCAGAGCTACAAACTCTTTATAGCCTGGCTAACAGAACCTGTTCTCCCTTACATTTGGGGATTCTTCCTAATGCAAATCTTCCAGCAGTATACCTCTATCAACTCATAGCTCCAAATTTGCGTAGAGCCATATCCTTGGCTAGATTTAATGTTCTTCCTTCAGCTATTTTATCTGGCAGATTCCAAGGGATTCCCTATCCTAGCAGGTGCTGTCCTTGTAGGAAGGATTGTGTTGAAACTGTTGCCCATGTTCTCTTCCAGTGCCCTCTCTATTTGGCGTCCCGTCGGGATCTTTTATATCCCATATTAGGCCATTTTTTCGAGTCCCCTGATGATTTTAAGCTTCTTTTCTTGCTCGATAACACAGACACAGAAATAACTGAAATAACAGCAAAGTTTCTCTGCAGTGCCATGGCCCTACGGCCTGATAAATGATATGATGAATTAGGTTTTTCTTTATGATGATACTCTGTGATGTTACTCGGCAATTTTAATTTGATTCTGTGTGTACTTAGATTACTGTATTTTTATTTATATGCCAATAAAAGGCTTTGGATTGGATTTGCGAGTTACATTTAGGTATCCAGTAGGTGGAAGATGAACAACTGCGTCTATCTTAATATGCGATGGAGGACAAACCATGTGATGTGTAGCCTCTGTGAAAAGGCATTCATTGAGCATACCGGAGCACTACAGAATTAGAAGGGACAATTTTTATT